CCCCCCCCCTCCTCCCCCAACTGTGTGGTCAGGTCAATTGCAACAAGCAGGCCCGCCCTTCCGCTAAACGGAGTTGCCAGCTCCGCTTCGCCGCACCGGCAACTCCGTTTGGCAGGGGCCGCTCCTGGTTGGCTTGGCGGCGGCGTGCTAGTCACGCGATTTACTGAAGAAAACAATCAAATAATGTAGCGGGCCTTCGGCTCGCTCATACCCGTCGCACTGTGTCAGGGATGTATACACTTAGTTCGTAAGCTTTTTGCAGTGTACTCACCGGCTCATCTACGGAAAATTTGGCTATGCCTCGGTTAAAATTTTAGCCCGAAGGGTTCTACTTTCACGAGGTTTTTCCTACATTTTGGACCAACCCCCATTTCTTTGTTACCCCTTTTCACCCCTTGGTAGTTGCCAGGATTTGCACCAGGCGTTTCGTTGTCCAGGAGTCATCCCTTAGATACCCTTGAATTTGTAGACTTCTAGCTCATATCCTTCCTCTTACACGGACGACGGACGGACGGACGTGAGCGGTTGCATGAGCCCGCTTTAATGCTTTTTTAAAAGCATTAGGGTGGGCTAAAAAAAAAGGATTTTAATGACAGCGCCAGCGTAGAGATGAATTAGTATCCTAAGGTGACATGCCAGTACAAATTTAGAGCAGTCCAAGGTGACCATTCACGGATTCTTCCGTTATAGCTGTAAATTGGTACTGGCATGTCACTAAGACATTTGACTAGGCTATTAAATTCAACTCGGCCTGAAAGACTATGTATTATTTGAGTTTCATACACACTAAACCCTTGCGTATTTTGTTGCGCGTAAACAAGTTGAATCTAATGTCCTGGTCCGGTGCAGCACACAACCCTCTTGTGCCGGCACAGCGGGCGCGGCGGCGGAGACTCGAGGGTCGTTACACCGCCCGGCCCGCCCGTGGCGGTGCCATAACCAATACCATCCATCGTCATCAGCGCGTCGCGGAGCAGGCTGCTCAGCATAATGATGCCGTAACACGGGCCGGGCGGGGCGGGGCTGGCGCCGCGCCCGGCAACCTCTGAGCGCACATATTTGTGCGTCCTCGAGCACGCCGGATGGCGAGTGAGCGGTGATGTGCCCCCCGACCAAACACTCGGGGCTGTGTGCGGCACTCCCAGTCCAGAGAGCGGTGAACTCTGCGGCCGCGCACTCATCGCACGGCCACCCACCGACCCTCCTTGTGGCCGTCGCTTATGCGTGTGGGTGTTATTGTTTCACTGCCCCCCACCAGTATTGTCCCCCCGGCCCCGCCGGCCCGGCACCCTCCATAATCGTCCCAGTCCAGCAGAGCGACGCGGCCGGCGGCGCGCCCTGATAACGCCCCCGCCTCGCCCCTCC